AAATGGTAGGAACCTACAGTTCAGTTTGTCTTGAATAATAATAGTTTTTTGATCTGTTGTGTCAAATTCTTAAAGTTATTTTTTAATACCACAAATTATAATTGTATTAACAGATGACTTTTACTGTAGATTTCTAAAAATTCCTTTAATCATGTCAACTTTTTAAAAATAAATCTTGAGACCAATGATTTTTCTTCAAATTACTCCAAACACTTACTGTCCTATGAAGTTAAATAAATTTTAAAAATTATACTTAAAAATAAGGTTGCCAGATTCAGCAAATACAAGATGCCCAGTTAAATGTGAGATAAACAATTAATTATATTTTAAGTGTATCCCACTCAATATATGTATTGATATATTGTATATAAAAAATTATTTTTTATCTTTCTGAAATTCAACTTTATCTAGGCATCTTGTATTTTATCTGGCAGCCCTATTTTTAAAATTCACTCCCTTATTTACATATTTATTGACTGTATTAATTTACCTGTCTGTGTTATTAATTTTTTTGAGCTTTAATAATTGTTATTTGGATAGATAAGAATTATAGACTATACATAGTTGCTCTCAGTGTGAAAGTGTTCATAAAAACATGAAACATAATTCTTACCTCCAAAACTTAAAGTAATGGGAAGATTTTGATTAATTAACAGGATAGGACTAAGACATTTTTATGAGTATTTAGATGATGTCAATTTTTAGGATTTCTCAAATCCCTTACTACTAAGGGTGTTGTAGATTTTATTGGCCCAGAAGGCTTGTGTTGCTCTGTGCCGTGATGTTTTCCAATGCTCCTAATAGTCTGAAAAGCATAAGAATGAATGGGTGTGTCTGTGGATTTCAAAATTATATTTCAAGTATCTTAAACTTGTATAAAGATGAGTACATCTGAATTTATTTAGTCATGTATAGTCTTTCACTTTAGATGTTAAACTGTATTTTAGAAAATGGCCTAAAACTAATTAACAAGCAGTGAAAGCACCATTTATAGGTAAGTGTGGGCTGAGAAGTTTTCTATTTGAAGAGCTAAAACTCCTTTGAGAAGTGCTTCTGGGGATCATTTAGTACATGGCCCTGACCAGAACTCTGCTCTGTGTGATTTTTCTTTCCCTTCCCTCCTCTTCAACTTGGAAGAACAGTGATCTTTATTGATTGTATGTTTCATTTTCAATTGCTCAAGGATTCAAATTTTGTGTAGTTCAGAATGTGCATATATATGATATAAACATGCCTTATTTCTGCATATAACCCCTGTGTACAATATTTGAAAGTATTCCCTTTTAACTAATATTGCTTAACAATGTTTGTGAAAGTTTTTGGATTCAGAATCAAGACTTTTAGTGCCTTAAGTGCATTTAGTGCACTAGGAGGGCCTGTGGTTTTGTGTCAGCGGGGACTGGGGAGGGGGTAGATTGTGAGGAGGGGGATGGGCTCGGCTAGATCCATGAATTCTGGAGCCTTAGACAGCTCTGCTCTTAAGAAGCTTTTCGGTTTAAAAGATATAATCTTTGTCCCTCATAAAACTAGTGACGGTGTATCTTAAGATACAAAGATGAAAGCATGGGCAATAACAGAGTCATTTATTAAATGACTAGGGTTTAAATTTTTAAACTTTGTACCTTAGGTATAGTTGGTTCCTGAAACGTACCATGGACTGTCACACATTGGCTTGGTTTTATTAACCAAGGAGTTATAGAAAGAGAAACCCAGCTGAGAATGAATTCCAACCTTCTCGACTTTTGTGTGGATTGTGACACTGTTTTCCCAACCTGTCCCTGCCTCCTTGCCCATTCACTTTCCATTTAGCACCAGGGATCTGTTAATATGGGGCACTTGCCCTACAGCTTTCCTTTCTAAACTCCTGCAGGCATTTCCTTGCCCACCACCTACAGCCCACTCCCTGTGGCAGGAAGGAGGGGGGGGCTGCTCCGCCTCTTCCCACAGGGCTCTCCTGTGACAGGTGTGTTAGGGGACCTTCCTGCGTCATCCTGTCCTGTGCTTTACTTAAGAGTCTCCTCTTCTCCTGTGTTCTCTGATAGCTGGTCCTCTTCTAAATGAGGAAGGCGCGCTTTATCATTTTCCTGGGAACTTCATGGTCATATTCCTCTCCCTAGACTTAGTCATTGTGTTATTATTTTTATCTGTTTGGGTGTGTCCCCCTGTGGTGCACCCCCCCCCCAATCCCCTGTGAATTTCCTAAGGTCAGCGAACAGCTGAGTTTGACTCCCTTTTAGCCTGGCTGCCTAACACAAGCCAGCCAATAAGTATTCTGTATAAAATTATTGAATGATCGAACATGAATGCATAGCTAGCATAGTAAAAGATTTTTACTTTGCGTAACATTCCTCAGTCTCTTTACTAGTGTGTTGGATACTTTTGTGTACGCACTCCTGGCAAGTGATCAGATAACTGTAGAAGTGATCAGATGGTGCCTGGAAAAAAATGTAAAGTGCTGATTAGAATTACGATTTCATTTCAGTGAAAGATTAAGCAAAAGAGCTGAAACCTTATGAATAAGGATATGAATATTATGCAATAGTGGTGGTAATAGAATTCCAAAATCCTGGACCAGGATAAGCCACCAGGATTATTCAAGTGATGCCACAGCATATTTTTCTCTGGAACATTTGACAATATTGTTGGGCAACAATGATTTGCCCTTATTATTTATGTGTCTTAATAAGGACTCTTGTGTGAGGTATATTAACTTGAAATGTACTAACTAAAGAAGTCTTTTAAAAAGTTGTTAAGTGCTAATGAAAGAGGAATCAGGAAACCTAGATTCTTGTTTTAGCTCTGATTTGCATTAGCTTCTAAATCTCAGTTTTATCATTTTTAGCTGAGGATTCAATTTACCTTTCTAGTTCATTGAAAAACATAACTATAGCCATAACAGAAGTAAGAAAGTTCCCGAGAAGCAGGATGGGGGAGCAGATTGCCCTAAAATAGATACATTGAACTTGAGATGATATGAAATTTGAGTAGAGATTCGCAAATGGAACTAAAGGGCAGGTGAATGATAATAGAAATGAAGATTGAACAGGATGTTTAAAGGCAGTAGCTTAAGCCTTGAGCCCGCAGTCTTTTTCTCTAAAGGTCTAGATAGTAACTGTTTTCAGCTTTGAGGGCCATATGGTCTTAGTTGTAGCTACTCAACTCTGTGGTTACAGCCCAAGAGCGCAGCCTTAGACAGTATATAAAGAGATGAGTGCAGTAGTGCCCCATACAACTTTATCACTGGACACTGAAATTTGTATTGCATATAATTTTCACATTATGAAATACTCTTCTTCTTTTAATTTTTTTTCAGCCATTTAAAAATGGGCTGACTTGGCCGGGCACGGTGGCTCACGCCTGTAATCCTAGCACTCTGGGAGGCTGAGGCAGGCGGATTGCTCGAGGTCAGGAGTTTGAAACCAGCCTGAGCAAGAGCAAGACCCTGTCTCTACTATAAATAGAAAGAAATTAATTGGCCAACTAATATATATAGAAAATTAGCCGGGCATGGTGGTGCATGCCTGTAGTCCCAGCTACTCGGGAGGCTGAGGCAGAAGGATTGCTTGAGCCCAGGAGTTTGAGGTTGCTGTGAGCTAGGCTGACGCCACGGCACTCACTCTAGCCTGGGCAACAAGCGAGACTCTGTCTCAAAAAAAAAAAAAAAAAAAAAAAAAATGGGCTGACTAGGTTTGACCTAAGGGCCATAGTTTGCTAACTTCTGCCTTATACCAACAAAATCATTCAAGTTTCGAGGGGGAGCAAGTAAATAGCACAGGGCAGAGGTTTAAAGACTAGATTTTTGAAGCTTGTTTGGAGGTGTCAGAACCCAGAGAAGGAGCAATCAGATATAGGAAAGGAACTAGCATGCTATAGTGTCAATGAAGAAGAGTTCTAGGGGTAAGTGGTTAGCAGTATATGATTAAGAAGATAATTAGAAAGATAAGGAAAAAGAAAAATACCGTTGGTACTAGTTAGAAGTCCACTGATGACCACTGAGAATTTTTTTAAAAAACTCTTAGAGGTAGAATATTAGGAGATAGAAAAGATAAAGCATATTAGGAAATAGAAAAGATAAATATGTGGGTAAAAACTGGAAGCAGGGCATTTAGAGCAGTCATTCAGGGGCTGGCAGGTTAACTCGAGACAAGCAGGAAGACAGCTGTGGAGTCTGCATGGCTGATTCCCTTCCGTGGAAGCATGACCCTTTATTAAGCTCCAGGCTGCTTAATAATCTCTTGAGATTTTATTCATCGATTTAACATACACTTACATATGCTTACCACATGCCAGATATTGTTCTAAGGACTTTATCAGTAATAACTCTTTCAGTTGTCATAACCTTGTGATATAAATAGTGTTGTTATTCCATTTTGCAGATGAGCAAACCAAGGCATAGAAAAGTCACTTCTCTAATAAATGACTAGTAACTTGAGTAGGATGGCTTCAGAGTTGGCAGTTGAGCTCTTTACTGTGATGTGCTCTCAAGGGTTCCACGTCTAGAATATTAGAACTCTTTTATTGTTTGTTTGTTTGGGTTTTTTGTTGTTGTTGTTTTTGTTTTTTTGGTTTTTCTTTTTACTGTTGCTACTCTTATATGGCTGAAGTTGGAATAGGAAGTACCATGGATTTATATCTTTTCTATTGAATGAACAGATTGAACAATTCTATTTTATTATCATTTTATTTTATTTATTTTTTAGAGACAGGGTCTCACTCTGTTGCCCATGCTGGAGTGCAGTGGGACCATCACAGCTCACTGCAACCTTGAACTCCTGGGTTCAAGTGATGCTCCTACCTCAGCCTTCTAAATAGCTGATACCACAAGTGCATGCTACTGTGCCTGTTAACTTTGTAATTTTTTTTTTTTTTTTAAGAGATGGGTTCTCACTATGTTGCTCAGGCTGGTCTTGAACTTCTGGCCTCAGGTGATCATCCCACCTCAGCCTCCCAAAGTGCTGGGGTTACAGGCGTGAGTCACTTTGCCTGGCCTGGATCGAACAATTTTAAAATACTAGCCACTTCCATAAAGATGTGGCTCTTCAAAAAAAAACAAACCATGACATTAAGGCATGCAAATTATATGATGAAGATACTTCCCTGTTCTCATGCGTATATGAAGGTTATAAAGAGATGACAGTATTATTGGGGAAAACTTTATAATGAATAAACTCTTATAAAATACAACTTAATATGCAACACAATAAATGTGATAATTTATTGGGTTTATTACCCAAAGATCTGGATTTATGGGGTTACGAGGCAGCATGGAATAGGTGCATAGAGCATGAGATGCCCCAGGATGCTGGGACGGAAGCCGCCTCCTGCCCCTGGCTTCCCCACTGACAGGTGTGCACTCACATACAGTCAGCCCTCTGTGTCCAAGGGGTCTGCATCCGGATTCAACCAGCCACAGATTGAAAAGATTTGAAAAGAAATGAATAACAATATATCAATAAAAAATAATACAAATTTTAAAACCAACACAATGTAACATAACATTTACGTTGTATCAGGTATTAAAAGTAATCCAGAGATGACTTAAAGTATATGAGAGATGTGTGCAGGTTATATGCAAATACTGCACCATTTTATATTGGGGACTTGAGCATCCATGGATTTGGGTATCTGAGGTGCGAGACCTAGAACGGATTCCAAGGGCCAACTGTAGTGGCCTTGTCTTTCTACAACTGTGGCCACTTATTATCAGACATGATATTGAGTGAGAAAGGAAATAACTCCACCTGTGACTCTTACTACAGTTCATTTTCTAAGAGGGGAAGAGCGCTTCTCTAGTCCTGGTGGATTGGAAATGTGTCTCACAACCTGAAGAATACCTCTCCCTCTTTAAAACGATTCATCTTGAGAGTTTTGTTTTCTTGCCATCACCTCCTTCAAAGTTTTACTCAAATCTCACCTTTTCAATGAGGACCACCCTGACTCCTATAATGCTACAACATGGCCACCCTACAACCTTCAAACCCTCAACCCTTCTTTTATCTTGTTCGACTTTTTTCTTTTGTCCGTTGCACTTATCACCTTCTGATATACCATGCAATTGTACTTATTGTCAAATAATGTAAGCTCCATGAGGGCTGGATCTCACCTGTTTTTGTCCAATGATTTATCCCACCTGAATGAAAGAATGGCACTTATTCGTAGTATAGGTGCTCAATATTTATCTTTTAATGAATGAGTCTATGTTGAGATGTCATTTTTGAGTACATGAAAACCTACATGCTGTGGAGGATTGAGCATAGTGAGTGCTTGTTTCCTTGAAAGAACAGTTTCTGTTTTCAACTGGAAGTATGTATGGTGACACTTAACCTGAAACACTTGTGGATTATGAGTAGGAGTGTTTCTGCCCAGAACTCTCCCTGTCTCTGATGCAGAGAGCAGAGCGAGATTACTCTTGCAGATAAATTTGTTTTCCAAAGGGGAATTTTGCCCACCAATTTAAGGCAGTTCTAGAATCTGACGTACAGTCTCAGTTGTTTCTCATTTGCCATCTGGCAATTTAATTGCTTTAAAGTTATGCATAGGATGAAAGAAGACAAATTGGAAATCTGTGATAATATGCATGGTAATATGGTAATATTTCTATTTTCTTTATTTTTTGGTGTGCTTTTGTTGTTTTCAAAAAATAAGATTAAGGGGATAAAAAGATTTGAGAAGGAATCATGCCAAAAGCTTTCCCTAGAGAGAGCCCCTTATATAAACTTTATTCTTTGACTAAGAGCCTTTGTTACAAACTAAATGTTTTGAATTAGTGGATTATTACATTTTTCCATTCAGTTGTAAGTCTGGCCCAAAGCTATGAAATAAGAGGTTGTCTAAATCGTTTCAAAACTGTCTGGCCATGAAGTAGAACTGGGGTGAGATGTGAGAAGCATTTTTTCCTTTGTCCTTCTTCATAGTATTTCCTGATCTGTGTTCTTCTTTTTGTTCCTGTCCCTTTGCTACTGGAGTATGTCTCTAATGCCTATTTATTACCCCATTTCTGATTTCTCTATTTGTGTTTTCCCAGTACTCTGTGGTTAACTGCAAATGGGCAAAGGTACTAGAACTTCACACAGTATATTCAAGTTAAAGAGTAACTCAAGTAGTGTGTGTCTGAGACTACTATGAGGAGAGGACGATTGTGGAATTCTAAAAACTGGGAGCTATGGTGAGAATTACATTTAAAATATTAAAATAATTAGGATACTTTATCTAATTTCTCATTTGGAAGCGGGAATTATATTTTAGGGCTTTTTTTTTTGAGAGTTGTGGCAGCTAAATGTAAATATGCACACACTTTGGAACATACAATGATGATTCTCAATCATGGGCAGTGAAGAGTGGGAAGGCAGGACATCCTAATTTGCACAAAAATGCACCCAAGTCATAATTTGCAGCTCCTGGGAGATTCTATTCTGAAGTTTTACTGCTTGTACACGTTCCCTTGGTATGGGAGGCAGAGCCTAGGGGCGTGGTTGGGAAACAATAGTTTTGCTTTTTTCCCCCCTCCTAAATCAGTTCAAATCCCATGCACCCTGAATTAACTGGAATTGCTCTCAGGCTTGTCGGCTCCTATAAAAAGATCTGGAAGTTCATAGTGGCCTAGTGAAATAGGGAACACGTTTGTTTCATCTTGACTTCTGTGGAGGAAAATCTGCACTATTTTTGTAGACTCCAGAGAGGAGAAACTTGTGATCTGTTGGAGAGAAACCGAATGAATGGGCACCAAGGCACAAAGCCTGATGTGGCTGTCATGCAAATAAGAACCGTGATTGGCTTTCCCTTTCTTTCTGTGGCACGATGTCACTGGCTGCTCTCAGCCTTAAAGATTAGGTTTCAGTGGGAGTTTTTCAGGTTCAAGGACTGTTAATGGTTTGTAACTGCCTGACAATAAGCTCAACCTCAAAGTTACATCAGCTTGGGCAGATGTCTGAGGATATGAGACCCGGGGAAGAAAAGTTACAATCTGGAGCAGAAGGACGCAGCTTGCCACCTGCCTGCTGGACTGAGCTTTTAATGTGATTTAAATTTCTAAGCCCTATTTAGGCGTCCTGGAAATGGTGGTCTTCATCAACACAAAGATTAAGTCTTTCATTAAACTTTTTAAGAAGAAAAGTAAGTAGTTCCTTTTCTCCACAGTACCTGTTGTATGGTGTGTGTGTGTGTGTGTGTGTGTGTTTTATGTCCTACTTCATCCTTTTGTGTAATGAAATTAGAGTGTGAAAAAGCGTAATTGGCATGAGTTAAACCCTGTTCTATACCAGGCTGTTTAAATACCTCAGACTTTTGTAACTCTAGGACAGTATTATGTGATCTTAGTACGTCTGATTTATTTATGGTTGGGGTTTTAAGTGAATTCACTTCTTTTGTGCTTCTCAAAAGAAGTCCTTTGAAGGAAGAGGAAAACTCTCATATTTAACTTATGTTTCCCTTGGTACACAGTGTGTGGTTTTTTGATTCTTTGGCCAAATGTGCAGCTGAGGCAAGGGAACCTCTGTGTAATATATCACATATTTTTAGTGGGGATAATCCCCTAAAACTCCCTGGCATTCTCTGTTATGCGTTTAAGAGCCTGCGGACAAACTGTCTAGACTGATCAGTGATTGTTGTAAAGTACAAAGCTTTTGTGGCATGGCTTCATTGTGTACTTAGTGTTGGTTTAAATTTCTTTAATGGAGGTGTTTCTTCATTCTGCGAAAATTTAATTTTTATAATTATACGGCTTTGTTTTTGCGTAGTTGGTGGTTTAGTTTAACTTTTTGATTAATAACTTAAACTGGATACATGTGCATGAGTAGGGACGTTGGTAAGAGAAGCTTTGGAGGAAGCAACAAAGAACAGCACTCTGGGCTCATTTTCTGCAGCTCCCTTGAAGGCTGTTTTTGGATGGACAGATTAAAATCTGCCCTGGCGACAGGGAGGTACACCAGGGAAGACACAACTGCTCTTTCATAGAAGCCAGTTGGTAGCTGTACACTGGGGCTAATGGTGTGATTATGACACAGTCACGAATGCCGTTACTTAGATTTGATTGTTAATTGGCAAATAGGAAACATTTCAATTTTCAGTATTTTTTAACTGTTAAGTATGGTAACTCTTTAAAATAAATGGACGCCAGCATAAAACACTGTGATGAACTCTGGATACACGTTAGGGGACACACGGCAGGTGTGGCCCCTGAGCTAGAGCCTCTGAAGCACAAATGAGAGTTAAGTCAGTTAAGTCTTTGTGGATTTTATGAGTTAAGATTGATAGTTATATGCACCATGCAAAGCATTTGTTTAACAAGAGATTGTGTGAAATACTGGGTGCCTAATTTGCATGCTGCTTTTGTCAAACATCATGTGCAGAAAGCACACAGGACATTTCTGTTTTTAACTTGATATCGAGCTCTCAATGTTTATTTTCTTATTTAGCAATTTATGGAGCAGGTGGGATCCTTTAAAAAATGAGTTATTCTTTTCAGGATTCATAGCATTGTAAAAATTTGTAGCTGTAGAAAAGATGGTATATGGCAGGGGTCCCCAAACTATGGTGAGTTGTATACTTATTTCATTATATGATACAATGTAATAATAATAGAAATAAAGTGCACAATAAATATAATGTACTTGAATCATCCTGAAACCCTCTCCCTCCTCCACCCTGTCCCCAGTCCATGGAAAAATTGTCTTTCATGAAGATGGTTCCTGGTGCCAAGAAGGTTGGGACCGCTTGTATATGGTATGAAAGCTAACCCGTGGCCCAGATTTACAGGGGCAGGGAAAGGCACAGTTCCTCCTCAGTGACAGTTCTGAAGTTTGGGCTCCTTTACAATAATTTTCATTCTTCCTGCCACCACCATGCTTTTCCATGAGTTATTTCTTGAGCTGAGGGCTTTATGCATGTTAGTTCATTTCATCTTTATAACAGCCGTCATAACTGTGTTGTGGGGTATGTTTAGTTAATCTAAAATATGTTCAAATAGATTCAATAGTTCATGCATGCTTTTCCACTTTACTTTGTGAATCTGGCTTGTGTCCTAGTTTCCTGGTACATGTTATGTTGTAGAAATGGGTATGGCCAGTGTGCACTCTATAGCATAGTTCAGACACAGGGCAGATTTGCCCTTACGATTCGAGTGTCTGCTGGTTTTACAGGAGTTAGACTTGTCACCTTCATGCAAATGCCTCAGCACAGGGACATTCTCCTATACTTCTCCAGTCTCTCCCATGCCTGGGTTACGTGGCAGATATATAGAAAGTGTTAAGAAATTGCTGATGAATTTGTTTTGGTGCCCGTCAGCTTCATTTCGGGCTCCACTGATGCCCCAACTTAGGTTGTATGGTCAGGAAAAATGAAATGAAGAGGTCCCAGGCCTTAGGGGGATTAAAGGAAAATTATTATAGAGATTTATCTTAGTGTCAGGATTACCTATCATTTTCTCCTCTAATGCTTTGGTATCTTTTGTGTTGGGAAAATTCAGTTGAATTGGATTGTGTTGGGAAAAGTCAATCACATTATAATTTAAAAAAAAATCAAACACTTTAATATAAAAGTATTCCTTGAAAGCAAGAAATGCAGAGAAAATTTCATAGCTTAAATGGATCTCTGCATCTATTAGCTATACCATTTAAATGTATTAAATTGGATGTTTATGCTTAATTTTTAAAAAAATTGAATGCTTATGCATAATTGAGTTTATAACAGTGATGCTTTTTATTTTTTTATTTATTTCATCATATTATGGAGGTACAAATATTGTTAGGGTTACAAATATTGCCCCTGCCCCCCTCCCTCCCCCCAATGTGTCCAATCCCCTAGACAGTGATGCTTTTTAAATAATACATTAGAGGGAGAACATTTGATGTCTACCTCCTGGTAGGAAATTCATTTCTGTCAGGATGAGCTAACATTTACTGATGCAATGGCATTGTATAACTGAATAGCCGATATTTGTTATGGCAGGATTCAGTAGGAACTGGTTGTCTCTATCAATTTTGTCAGTCCTTTATTGACATTGGAGTAGAGGGAGGACCTAAAATTCTGGAAAGAAATTAACTGAGCAAATAATTCTATGAAAACATTGTATGGAAGATGGGCGGTTTCAGCTTTTCCTTTACAGACTTTTAGAACACTGTGGGTAAAACACTTGGAGTCTAAGATTAAATATCATTTTTTTAAGGCAAGCATGAAAATGAAGTTTACTGAAGAGAGAAAGATAGGATTATAGGGCAAGAGTGAGATAGAGGTTTATAGAGCGAGACACAGACGCAACAGATAACAGCAGGAACCATTGTCACAGCAAAGGGAGAGCAAAAGGAAGGGCACAAAAAGGGCTAAATCTCATGTAGAATTTGCTCCCTTTTCCCCTGGCTGGCCCTTACCCATCGAAGTGTTGAGTACCAAAATGCCATCTTGATGTAAATATTTGGAGCCACTGAAGCTTAATTTAACACTTGCATTTGTTCTTTCTCTCTCTAGCGGTTTCCAACCTAGATGAGGAGAGCCGTTGGACAGTCCACTACACTGCTCCATGGCACCAGCAGGAGAATGTGTTCCTTCCCACCACAAGACCCCCCTGCGTTGAGGACCTGCACCGCCAAGCCAAGCTCAACCTCAAATCAGTATTGAGGGGTAAGATAGCATCCTCTGTGAGCTTGTTTTCTGGAATTACTGACTGTTAGAATTGAGAGTATAAATCTGATCTCTATCTGTAAAAGATGTGTTTATATTGAATGTATAGTATGCCATGCCATTTATAAGATGTCATAAATACAACCTCATATATGCCTAAATGTTCTGGTCTCTATAGAAACCTGCTTGTTTACAGATATGCAAATCTGTCTTCAAACAGTTCACTCCTTCTTAAAAACAGTTTAGCATGTTTAAACCACCAGTACTAATTTTATCCAAACAAACCCCTGCTGACATGTGATACATTTTGCCAGTATCTTTTAAAAACATGGTGAATATTCAAAGCAAATTTGTTTTTCTGAACAAATTTGTTTGTTCTGTTTAGTTCAAGCTGGGTGGAAAGAGGACTTATATAGAGACCTTGAAGAATTGCTAAATGGTTTGATTTGTGGGAACTTGTGTGGCTCTTGTGGAACTTGTGTGGCCCAGTGGTAACTGGGCTCCTCTGAGCATGGGTTCTGTCTGCAGATGGGCAAGGTGCACTGTGGTCGGTAGAAAATATAGACAGGGAATATTCCTATAACTAGTTTAAAATTCTCATTTTTAGTTCAACTTATTGTGTGCCAAAAAGGACTTCCCAAAGGTGATGAGGGAGGGATTTCTTCAAAGAAGAAGGTATGACTTGTAAAATTCAGAGACTTTTACTTAGAACAACGAAACAAAGTTCTTATTCTAACAGATGCTGCTCCTCCCATATTTCTTCAACCGTGCAATATTTTGGACATAAGTATACAAAACAAATATTTGTTACTGATCTGAAATTTAATTTGACTGGGCATCCTATATTTTATCTAATTGTGGAAGACTTAAATCTGGGAGAAATTCTGTCACTGATTCAAGAAAAACCTACCATGAGGACCCCTCTCATTTTTATGGTCATTTTTACTTGTACATCAGTCATTTATTAAGTGATTCATTTTATAATGTACTACTACTGTGATCCTTATGATTACTAGCTAACATTTATTAAACACTTAATGTCAGGTACTGTTCTAAGCTCACTAAATGTATTACCTCACTTAATACAATAATCTGCTTATTATTTCTATGTCCAGATGACAAAACAGAGGTATAAAGATTAGAAACTTGCCCAATATCTCCACAGTAGTTAGCAGTAGGACCAGGATTTAAACTTGGGCAATCTGAAGCTATAAAGCTCATATTCTTAACTGCTACACTATACTGCTTTTCACAACTATTTGTTGGAAATCTGTTATTCTGGCAGACGTGCAGAGTACAAAGCAGGTCTTAGCTCTCAAGGAATTTATACTTGTATCTAAAGTGCAAATCACAATATGAAAAATAGGAGTATGCTAAAAATTACTGTATGGGAATTTACTAGAACAGGTCATTTCTGTTTGGAGAGAAGGAATCAGTAGCTATTCACCATAGGTTTGGTATTCTGAACAAAAGTTTACACACCTTTCAGATCATGGCCCTATTTTTCTTCCTTTAATCTTTTGTGGTGGTTATGGTTATGGTTGTATTATTAAAATATCTACTTATCTTACATTATCTTTTTGTATCTTATAGTCTGGGCATTGGACTGTCCATAAATGAGGGTACTATTGGGTTCCCATTTTCATTCAGCCTAAGTAATCTACAGGCTTAGTGATTATAATCTTAAATAAGAAGAATGACATTAGTTGGACTCATTTGTATGGCCTTGGAGTTGTGCTTTGAGCTTTGTTGCCTTCATGTTAGTCCTTCAATTACCTAAACCCAACCAAAATACCTTCTAGATCCCTTTAGTTACTGGTGATTTATCTGTAGTAAATTTCAAGGAGGATATTCTCTACTTTTAGCTCACCTTCCTCCACCAAATAATAAGAATGTTAAATGGCACTGTTCCCAGAACAAAACCCCAAGGCAGTGCCTTGTTAGCATTTATCTGCCCAGCTCCTGAGCAACAGAGCACTGCATGGTCTGGCTTGCAGAAAATGCTTTTGTGAAGGTATTTGTGAGTTTGAATATTCAGGCTCAAGTGTTTTTTGATCACTCTCCAGGAAATTGTGCTTCACGACCTATTTCATGTATTTTCAAGTTGTAGATCATGACTTTTCTTCTCTTAAAAATTGAACATATGTATGTAGACTTTTCTGCTTTTATTTTCTTTTTGACTACATAGTACATCCCTGTAAAATATCATCCCCATTGGTTTTTCCCAAACTTGAATTTTATTCGGACAAGATAAATGCCTTTGTAATTGCTTTAATGCCCTAAAATGGTTCATCAATGGGATTTATTATTAATAAAATTAATAGCTTTGGAAAATTCTTGGAGCTCAACTTTTGAAGTCTGGATTTTAAAACTACTTAGGAGATTTTTAGATAAGTAATGAATTTACGAACAGTGGTTGGGAAAGGCGAAATGAGAAACAGCATTGTTCTTTTAATCACATGTACAGAACTTCACATACCACTTCCCCGATATCATCCTAGCAACCTGATAAACACAGCATGAGTACAGGGGATTTCTTGCCTCATTATCAGTGAAGATTAAAAAAAAATCCAGTCCGTAATTAAGTGGCACTATTAAGGTTTGATGTTCTATAGTTTATCTAAGTTAATTCAGTCCTAATATTCTCTACTTAAAAATATAGAAAAGTAGCTAATTATTCACAGTAAATAATCTATTTTGTACCTTCTATTTGTACTATGACCTTGTCCATAATTTTAAGGAAGAAATGCCATTCTTTAATGTTAAACAGATTGTTACTTTTTCATTGTCATTAAATGCTCATTGTGCGAATTATTCTGTCAGTTTTTATGGGCAGCTAGGCTCTACTCTTGAGAACCATAAAATGTGGAGGGAAATGATACAGTGAGTACTAATAAATTAATAACTAAATGTTGTAAGCACATTTTAAAGTAAAGCGGAAATGGGAAGGCATGGGTTTACTGGAAGATGTTTTATGAAAAAGCCCAGTTTGAGTTAGTAAAGAAAGGCAGATAATATACACAATTTAACCAGTATTTGAGCATCAATTCTGTACTCTGCCAGGAGTTTTTAAAATGAACTTGTAGAAGTTCACGCGTCCCCAACTTTAAAGAGCCAAGCGTGCTGTCCTGCGTCAAGGTAGAAGTGAACAGGCAACCATGTATGGGAGGAGTGCGAGTGCAGGAGGTACAAGGGACACGGGGGGAGAGAGGCGCAGGAAAGAAGATTATTGGGAGAATTGCACGATCCCCCCCACTGTTCCCTTCTCCCACCCCCACGTGGGACAGGAGATGGTCTTGCAAGATGTGCACAATGGCACACGGAGCGAGCTGTCTACCGTGTGCAATTTCACTCTACTCTGGTCCAAACACAGTGGAAATCTTTTGTATTATTATTTACTGTTGTAGTCTCTGGAGAATTTGATAAAATTTGGTGGTCAGATGTCTTGGTATTGTTAATTTGTTATGTAACGTAACATTCACAGTAATGATTTTACTGCTAATGAAGATACGAGCATGTACATGTTGAACAGCCCTAATCAGAAAATCCCAAATCCAGAATGCTCTATAATGTGAAACTTTCTGAGCACCAACATGTGAAACTTTCTGAGCACCAACATGATGCTCGAAGGAAATTTCAGATTTGGGGAATTAGGGATGCTCAACCAGTAAGTATAATGCAAATATTCCAAAATCTGAAAAAATCACAAATACTTCTGGTCCCAAGCATTTTGGATAAGGGATTCTCAACCTGTGCCTAGATTTAAAAATAGTATTTTCATATTTACTTCAATAAGACATCTGAGTAGCAATGAATAGTGAATTTTTTTAAATTGGATCTAATTATCTATGAAGAATTCACTCAGCTTCTTACTGAATTTGCAGGAGAATTTTCTTCTTTTTATGTCCATAATTGTTTGAACCCTTCATGAACTTCTTTGGAGACAACTGTGATCTAAGTAACTCATATCTAACTAAATTTTTATCTGCATAGTGTTTTGGCTTTGCTGAAAGGGCCACAGTTAAGTGGAAGGGGGGAATCAAAGGGTGTAGGGTGGGTGCAATGAGAAGCTCAAGTTTTGTTTCTTTATAACCTGCAGACCCCATTCGACAATTATGAGCATGTTAAAGGCTGAAATAAAGATGCATCATTGTTAAGACTTCACCCCCAAAAAGCCCAACTTGAGAGAGAGAACAGCATAATTTCTCACAGTGTGTTTAACAGGCAGTTTAGTTACTGTCTCTGTGTACACTCCTGCATGAATTAGTTCACAGAGCATCTGTTGTTGGTATCAGAAATGTTCTCTAGTCACAGCTCCTTTTTCAAGAAATACATTTTAGCAGGTCAGCTTGCCTCTGGGCTCTAGAATTAGGAGTTGGGTGCAGGGAAGAGTGCTGAATCTGGCCTGTGTTCATTCACAGCCAGAGGGTGGCATTTATTATATCTGGAAGGAGAGGAGTTGAGGATTTGCAGTGTGAAGAAACGACAACGTTTACCGAGTGACTAAAAAGAATTGTGCGTGTGTGCACACGCCAACCTGTTAGCATTAAAGAATGGTACAGCTTTTCTAAAATCATGGAGTAGGTTTCCAAGTAGTTCCAGCCAGGTTTCTCTGAGAGTTCCTGACACCCGGCTTTATATGAGGGTGACTCATCTACCTTTCATTGTCGTGAAGCCTCGTGGTTCCCTTGTGGCCTAGACAAATAGGTTTGTCTTGGGAGAAGTTGTGGGTTTCTCCCTGGATGTGGTGAGGAACCTTGCTGTCTTATCTGCCCGGGACACATGGGTCCCTAGGGTATCAGAGATGTCCTCTGTCTTTGGTTATAGATTATCCTCTTGGGAGTCCTGTGGCGCTTTTCACAGGACTGTCTGGGAGATGACTTTATAGGTAGGGCCTTGTGGACATGGATTGAGAGCTCTCTTCCCTGGAATGATGCATTTGCCCACCTTGTGCTAACCACATTGAATTCTTCATCTTTTTTTCTTTTCCTGTCACTTAA